AAACGCTGCCAACGTGCTTCACAAAATGTACAGTTTCTGCCAGCGTCTCTCGTCGTTTCTCCTCACCCTCCCTTTTACCCCCTGCTAGCCCCCCCTCCTCCTCCTCCTCCCCCTCCTCCTCCTCCTCCGCCTGCCTCCCCTCTTCAAGACTGCGTTGCGTTGCGGCTCTGTGCTCCCTAAAGAGCTGAAACTGTCGGCCGGGGAAGCGGTGAAATGGAAAAATTTAATCGCATTAAGAGAAAAAGCTTCTCTTTTCATTTGTAAATTCCTGGGACACACTTTTTTTCCACTCTCTTCTTTCTATTTTACACCTATCTCTCTCTCCCTCCATCTCTCTCTCTCCTACTCTCTCTTTCTCCCTCTCTCCGTCCTTACTCCGACACGGCTGCTGAGCTCAGAAAACATCCGCTAAGGCCTCAACACACACACACACACACACACACACACACACACACACACACACACACACACACACACACATATAGCTTCACACACTACATTTAAGACACACTCAAACACTAAACTCTGCACTTTGCTTCAGTTGAGGGTTTGATAAGCCAGGTCTGAGGAACACACACACACACGCGCACACACACACACACACACATTCTTTTTCTTTTCCCATTAAATGAGAGAGAGATCAAAGACTATTTTGTTGACTCCTCCTCTTTTGCCTCCCTCCGTCTTGCTTTCCTTCTTCCAAATCATTCAATGTCCTTAAACGTTCTTCCTTCCTACATCCTCTCACCCCTTCCTTCTCTCCTTTTCTTTCTTTCACTTCTTATTTTCTCTTTTCCCTCTTTTTAAATTGTTATTCCTCTTTCCTTTCTTTCTTTTTCTTCTTTTTAAAGAGCAGTGTTCCTGTTTCATGTCGTACCACATCCGTCTCTATTGTCATTCGGCTGCGGGGAAACACACACACACACACACACACACACACACACACACACACACACACACACACACACACACACACACACACACACACACACACACACACACTCTCTTCTTTCAAACACCATCCACCATCCCCACCTCTCTGGTGTTATGGACCTCTCTGCCATATGCACACACACATAAACACACACACTGCTTCCATGGGGACAAGCCACCTGAAGAGCTGAGGATTAACGGACCAGTTCAAAGAGTGTCAAGAGCTTTTTCCCTGCACCTCCCCTCCAACCTCTCGCACACACACGCAATACACAGCGTTGCATTTGAGAAGTTTGCACCCGATATTACACTTAATAAAATGAGATGTGCTGTTGCAAAATGATCTGCAACAGAAAAGTAAACTCATCTGCGAGTGTAAGGAATTTTAAGGCCACAATCATTAATGTTGATCTTCTTGCATTTGTGATCGGCAGCTTTAACTCAAGTTATATTGACAGAAAAGAAGCTGCCTTAAATGATAACAAACTGGTATCTTGTTTTGAAGTAAAGTATATTGCCATTTAACTGTTATCGGTACAAGTTTTTTTTTTTTGCTAGTTTGGGATGACAACGCACGAGCCACAGCATTCCCCCTCGGTTCCTTTTCTTTTCTCGTTTCCTTTTTTCTTGTACGTCAGCTCTAAACCGTGTGACTGGTGTCCCCGCTGAACTCGATGGTATCTATTGTGTGTAAAAAGGACCATTTAGCTTCACATTCCTACTGGATACTGTCACACTAAAAAGTACAATAGAGGTGCTTTCACACCGCAAATCTTTTAGTTGAGAGCCGCAACGTCAGCCAAACTGTAATACCACTCACTCTGCTGTGTGTGTGTGTGTGTGTGTGTGTGTGTGTGTGTGTGTGTGTGTGCGTGTGTTTGGGTGTCCCTTTTATTGCTCACTCCCTGTCCCTCTTTCTCTCTTTGGCCATCAGGGGGGGCTCTCATGCAGTAAGTTCTCAGAGTCAGTGGTTTCTCATTGTGAATGTTGTGTGTCTTTACCGTCCGCCTTGCAAAAAGCTTGGATGTATAGTGAGTCAACATGCAACAATGGCCGAGCCAAGAAGGAGGTCCAACAGCTGGAATCAAGCCCCCCAAAATCCCCACACCCGTGCACAACACTGAACACACTTGCCAGTGTGGAAGTAGGCTGTAACAAATGAGTGAAAATGACAGTTGAATCATTCTAAATGATGATATATTCCAAAACGCTTGGTGGTTGTCTCCTGCTCTCCTGTGAGGGATTCCGCTTCCACAGGCCGACCTTTCTTCATTACCTGTGCTATTCCCTTTAAATGCTGTTTGCACTACCAGATCCAACATCGGTTGGGATTTTCATACTCATTAACTATCCAGAATAACTCTGATGACAACAGAAGTACACAAATGCATGTTTTATGTATTGAAGTGACTAAAAATGTTCAGATTCACCCTGAGAGCCGACGCCTGTGACATGTGGTGTGATTTCTGATCCACAATGGTGAATCAAGGAGACGTTTAAACCGGAATAGCCGATTAATAATAAACACAAATGTTCTCTACGGTAATATACTGAAATATAATTTATGTAGCAAGCTAGACTTTCTTTGTGGGTGATTCTTGATTTATGTATGAACTGTGGTGGACCAGCCAGAGCAACAGCGTTGTTTAGGAGCTGGTCACAGCCAACAATAGGTGTTTCATGATGATAAATTAACAGTTTGCCATAAAATCTGAATATCTCCTTCATCCCCTAAATCAATGATCCTTTGTCCTGCTCTCAGGTGGGACCAAATCCCACATCAAATGACGAGCAAGCTGCAGCTAAGCAGCTGCTGTGCAGCCAATGTGTGAATTGATTTAAATTGACAAAAAAAAACGCCAATTGAATCCGTAGCCACAGCTGGTCCGCACCTCAGCTCCTTATCTACCTCCTCCAGTTTATCCATTTCCCGCCTCCTTATCTGCTTCCTGTGTCCTTATCTGCTCGGTGTGTCCTATTTCCATCCGTATGCAGCAGCTTTCGAGACCAAAATCATCACCATGATCCTCCTGCGGATCAGCTTCGAGGAAACATGGCCTCACAAAGTGGATGACCTTAGGGTGTTGAAAACATTTAATCTGACTGGCGTGCAAGCATGTTTGTGTGTGGATGACGGTCGGTGTGGGTTCAACCTCAAGGCATTACTGGTAACCTTTGTACAATCTGTGTGCCACCGTGAAGTGGCTCAGCAAACCTCTCCACACTACACAGGTACAACATGCGGTAGCAGTCAGGACACCTGACGGCGCGTCCACGTGTGTGACTATGCGGCAGGATGTTTACTCATTATGTGGTTGCTCTACACGGAAACAGATAGAACTGCTAGTGAGTAAGATCCATGGGTATTAACACAGATACTGTGAGAAATGCATAAAACCTTAAATATGCAAGATTAACACGCACAGGAAATAAAGACTATATATTTTAAGTTTTATAAATAATTGCCGCATTTAATTAGAGACAAATAAAATTAATTTAGTCAAATGTAGTAGAGTTTTGACAAAATAATACATGCCACGCAGAATCAGAAACTGTGACGGTAACAGTGCAGAGGTCCAAAGAAAAGACGGGATATTTATGGAAATAGCACGAGAGCGCAGGTGTGATTCTTTGACCAGGCTATTAGCCATTGTGTGTCCTGGCAGCTCTAATGGAAAAAATGACAGGCAACTTAGAAGAGAAAGATGGAATGCGAAAGGTATGGAACCTAAATAAAGGACTGCGATGGAAATATAAGAGGCAAAATGAACATAGACAAAAACAATGAAGGGAAAGATGATGCAGTCCGGCATACAATGAAAGCAGAAATGAGGCTAGATGGAGAATGTGGGTATTCAATTTGTCGCACCAAAGGCAGACATTGTTTGGGATGCATTTGTCTACATATACAGTATCTGTCCTCCATTAACTCTGCACCATGCATCATCCTGGGTTATAAACAAGCGTGACAGAAACAAAGCTTATAATCTAACTTTACAGACTTAAACATATGATGCAAACATTCTGCATCGTGGATGCTGCATCATGGAACAGGATTAACGACCAAATAAAGAAATATTGTCTCCAAAAATGATAATCCTGTGTCCCGGTTTTAATTATTGTAATATATATAAAATTATTATTTAGTTATAAGATGATTAAAAGTGAAAACGATCATTTTTTGGGGGACAGAAAAACAAAATCCCTCTGTTTTTTCTTTTCGGTAAAAAACATTGAATATCTTTTCAGTTTATAGGTGTGTATCCATGAATTGATTTAGTCAAATGTGATTTGGGTTGACTAGCAAAACATAAACTTGGGCAACTCCTGGGTTTTAGCTTGTCGAATACACGCACAATACTGTCTGCTGACAATCACATAACTTGAAGTCCTGCATCTGTATCCAACATCCATCTTTAACTTTTCACTGTGAAATTTTGTTGCGCAACCTTTGACTTACATCAACTGAGAACTCCATCCTGCCATTTCCATCGAGCATCGTCACCTGGTCAAAATATCTACACTCATTGGATTTGTCATGGGCGGGTTAGTGCGGCCCTATGGTCATATGCACAAGACCAACACAACACGTATGCAAGTGCAGCATGACAGACTGAAACGGAGGAAGATGATGGTGGTGATTCGACAAAAACAGGAGGTAGAAAAATAAGGATGAGATTAAAAGTAGAGGAGAAGGAAAGAGTGAGGTGCAAAATGGAGCTGTGGTTTATTGCTGCGTCACATCAACACTGGCAGTGGATATTTGTTTTTTTTGTAGCTGCTGAATCCTTAAAATAAAAGTGAAATATAAAAAACATCAGAGTGAAACGTGGAAGGAAAGAGATTAGGAATAGCGGGATTTAGGAGGGAAGGTGTGAAGCAGCCGGTGGGGGAGTACGAGGAAAATGAGGAGGCAAAAGAATCCAGGTAATTGGAAAATACACAGTGAGAGGGGGGGGGGGGGGGGGGGAATGTGAGGTAGAGGAGAAAAAGAGGAAGAAGGGACGGAGGGGGAGCGGAAGACAGGGTGAATCTCCCACCCTCAGGTGTTTGTTTAGCCAAGAGTGGTGGTGGAGAGCAGAGGATTAGAGGATTACGGACGTGTCGTTGGTCATGTGAGGTGCCGTGGTCGACACTGACCCTGCTTACCTTCTCTCAGTAAGGAAGCTTAGCCTGGATGTGAAGGTGAGGTCTCCCACACACACACACACACACACACACACACACACACACAGACAGACACATATCCACCCATCCTTTTATCTCCCGCTCTCCGAACTCCTTCTTTACCTCTCTTGTCTTTTTATTTATTTCAACCACTTTTCTGTCTTCACCCTCTTCATTTCCCTCTTCCCCTTCGGATAATTACATTTCTCTTGTCTGTTTCTCTCTCTTTATCTCCCTCCCTTTCCATCTTTATCTCTGTCCTCCAGATGTCAGGCTTCTTTTTGGTGCATTTTATACATGCACAGCTCATCCATGCCCTCACAAATCCATCAGGATTCTTGGTTGTTTCTATCTGAAAGAATAGCAAAGGAAATAGAAGAAAGAGGAATAACACTTTGCAGAATCACAAGCGGCAACTCAGATCATGTCCGGACTGTGAGGAGTAAATACGGCAGCAACCTCTTGGCCTTGGTAAGTTTGTCTTGACTTTCTATGGCGATAAACATTAGATCATTTATCTAATTTTAGTAGTCTATCTGGTCATACTTTAATAATGATGCTGGACTACATGACAACACAACAGTACTCAACTAAATTGAATGGACTCCAGTTTTTTTCCATACATGAAATGTGTGCAGGGACGCCCATCATTCCAACCTGTATTGTATTGTATAATTAAACTAACCATAAGAAAATAAAAATTAATTTTCCCTTTTAAACTATTCACCTAGTTCAAAGGCATGAAGTTGGATTGTTTGATTCTAGTGAAATACCTATCATACATCATTGGGCTTACTTACTACACTCTGAATTCTTTTCCGTTATTATTTATATGTAATGGTCACATTTAAAAAAAAATGTTTAAATAAAATCTGTTGTCCTAGAAGACCGGGTGTCTTTTAGCTGCCATTCAAGAAATATATAAAACAGGATTTCATCACTGATACTGTTGTTCATATTCAAATTTATTCAGCCTGCTGGAATAATATTTTAAGCATTATAACTACCGCTGGGCTTGAGCTGATCCCAGTCGATATTGAGCTTGATGTTATGGCCCTGACGGGACAAGTGCTGCACAGAAATCTCCATCCTCAGACTCCTCGCTGTCGCTTCACTGATCAAACGAGGCTCCTACCGTTTGCAATTCCTTCTGGAGTTTTGATAACTATGCATCTCCCGAGCAAACAGAAGCAACTATCATTTTCCCCACTAAATCCAAGCAGTCTAACAATGCAGTTATGACAAACATTCACTACCACACTGCTCGAGAAAACTGCTGTGCCAAATCATTATAATGATGCAATATGGAAGGTAAAAAATCTCTGTGCTGCGGGTTTCTTGTCGATGATCAAATGCAACTCAAAACACGGAAACCAACTCCACGTTGACTCGCATGGCTGCACGGGTTTCTTTTCTGGGCATTAGATTGCAGGGACGCATATATCTTCCTAATCTCGCCGATTTCCCGCCTTGATTGGATCCAATCGGCGTTGCAGCATCACAAACAACACAGACAGAGCACATGGGAAAGGAGAACACCACGAATACCTGCAGCATTGTTAAAATGTCACGGCATAGTAAAAAACTGTAATAAAGTACAATACTCATGGCCCTGTTTCATTCAGGTTGGGTAAAGCTGTGACACACTGAATAATGAATCATTCATTTTACCTTTCTTTACTGTGCTATGACATGAGAAGGCGGCTGTGAAGACCAACCAGAAAACTCTATTGATTCCCTTAAAGGCCTCAAGGAGGAAAATAAAAAAAAAGTAGAGTCTTGCCATCTTTTTTCCTGAAATGTTTGAAATAGATAGATGGGAGTTTGACTAAATATCCACCTGGCTGCCTGCTTTTACTGCTTCTAGCAGTGTTTGACGATTACAAAATCTAATCACACTGGCAGCAGGTTAAAACAAGACATTTTTAATGAGAAAATTAAAAAATATATACTCTCGGCTGAAGTAGGCAATTATTGATGCGTTTCGTAATTTAAAGTGTCAACAATGACCTGATCGAGGGTCTGTATGTTGTGTGTATTGTAATTATATATAGTACCTATAAAGTTTGAATCGGTAAATTGATTTTCTAAAGTGAGCCTCTAAAGTAACGTGTGAAATATGAGCTGTGTGACCCTCGTGGTTGAAGGTGTTTCTCCTTCAGCTGCGGAGGTGGTGAGCTCAGGATCAGCCTGAGCTCAGACACACGAGTAAACACAGACCAGCGGCTTTGTCTGGATACATTAGGTGGCCATCCAGCCAACACTATATCAGTTTGATGCGGTGGCAGCTATTGGAAATAAATAAAAGGTATCAGTTTGAGACCAGATAACTGGCAGGCAAGGATTATAATAACTAGCAGGTAAAGATAATCTTATGGAAATAACAGCGAGTCATTCGGTCTCTCCTTGAAGCCAATGAAAAATACGTGAAGCATCACTAAATTAATAAGCTTAATGAATATCCCATAGATTTGGGATATACACAACGATACAACATGCATGTATTCATGTTTTTATGCACTTACATAATTGATTGAGAAACACTAGGTACCAGCAGTACACTGTGACTTCCGTGACCTGCTTAGTATTAGTGGCTTATAATGTTGGAGATCCAGCAGCTTATTCAACAGTTCTTTGGAGGTCTGTGTGGATAAGAGCTTAAAGAAAATGCTAAATTGGAAAGACGGTGGTGGGGATCTATCGGATCACTTGTCATTTTGACATTTAAAAAAAAGGGTTAAGTTAAGATAACGATAAAAATGTCAATGTAGAAAATGGTATCCTCTCTTTAAATAAGTTAAACGTTTCCGTTCAAGCTGTTAAACCCCTCGTGTTCATGGGTTCAATGTAGTGGCCGTTGATGGAGGTGTTTTGACTTGAGCCTGATTAGACAAACAACTGTGTGGGCGTCTAAAGACGTCACTTGATTTCCAAATCCTTCGTGGGACACCTACACATTTATTGCTGGTTCACGAAGAGCACGTTTGGTGACACATTATAACACATCATTTCCAGCATAGCACATCCTGACTGGAGGTCCAACCAAAACAGGCTTATAAAAAGCACCTGTGAGGGGGAGGATACATTCCCTTCGCCCGTCTCCTTTACGGCATGCGGTTAGTTTTTATGTAGAATATTTAATCCCTTGGCATTCTGTTAACTTGTACTTTATCTCCACTGGATGTTGTTCACATAGTATATTTTACCTTTCTTAATAGGCTCATGAAGAGCATCAGAGGAGGGTCTCCACTGCTAACAATTACTGACAGCAGGGATATTGCAGTGTTTCTTGGGTTCTGAACTCAGTAACAATAGGGATCCAGATGGGTTTCGTTTGGATTCTGACTAAGTTGTGGTACTTGGCGAGTTGTGAGTGAGGATGAGGCGCAGATGAATGCCAGTGCTCAGAAAATAGTCAGTCAGCTGTTGTAGTTTAGGCCCATTGGTCAACAGAAGCAGCAGCAGCAGCTGTGAGAACATACATCTTTACATTTAATATCTAATATCAATTTGCTAAACTGTCAAACGAAAAAAAAATATTTAAAAGTTAAAAATAGTTGAATTGTGTTGGGACACTTTTTGTTGGGTAAGTCAGCCTCTCTGCTGGTATTTTTGAAGCTTTGTTTTGATTATACCGCAAGCAAAGCTGCCACTCAGCCACATATCATTTAAAAAATAGTCATATTTAAAGCTGCTTTCAGTTCTCATTATCTTACATCTTGTGCTGCCAGTTGAACGAGAGCCTCATCACTATATATATATAGTATATTTCTCCCAGTAGGCCAAATGCTTTGCTAATCCGGCCAGATATTGACCACCTCCTGTCTGTTAATTAGAAGGGATTTCTCCTACATCTAAGTCTGCTGAATTAGCAGAACTTTATTTCACATACAACTTATAAATATGTTCTATAAGACATGGAAGTGAGAGATGGAGATAAGATGGGAAGATGGATGTGGAGATTCCTCTAGGTATCATTACAGTAACGCAATGGCAGGAAAAAGGATGCTCCTTCTGTTTGTGTGTTGTCTTTGAAGATACATTTCACAAATACTGAGGATGGAAAATGTTGTTTATTTTATATGTACGTGCTGATCTGTCGATGTTCGGTTTTGGTGGCAGCTGTGGCTCAGGGGGTTTGAGTTGGTCTTCTTTTAAACACAATGTTGGCGTAGTGATCTGTGAAAGGTTCATTGAACGAGACTCTGAACCCCAAGTTTCCCCCCGTGCCCCTTCACAGCAGCCCACGGCTCCTCAATGCTTAGGAAGGGTTAAATGTATGGGTCATACATGCGAGTATGCATTCGTGACACCGTCTTCATCGCCTTCTGCCCGTTATTTGATCCTAATCACACCATCCGACAGACTGAAGAAGGTTTGACTTCTGCTTTGTGTTTAACAGGGACATGATTGGCTGTGGGCGCCTGAAGGGGTGACGGCCTGAGAGGTGGCTGCTCCAATGGCTTGGACCGAGCCACGGTCCCGTCCAGACCCCGAGCTCGACCCAAAACCAGCGCCTCGCAGTCTAAAGACTCAGAACACTTTTCCATCAGCGATCCTTCCAGTCCAGCCTCCAGTTTTACTGCCCTTCCTTCTTCTGCTCGCTGCCTTCGCTGACCTGGGTACTGCCGGTCCACCGCAGCCAGCGTGGCCCCCTCTCCTGTCCGGACAGCCTTTCATCATCTTCTGGGGCATCCGTGACTCCTCCTGCTCCGGACGGCCAGATCCCAGGTCCTTTGGGATGGAACGGGAGGGCCGCGTGGCCGTCTTTTACGAGGACACGTTGGGGAACTACCCTTATTTCCTAGACAAAGACACGCCGGTCAATAGGGGGCTACCACAGCACACACGGATGCAAGACCACCTCCAGAAGACACAGCAGGACGTGGAGGCGGCTTTACCCGCCCCGAGGTACCTTGGGCTGGGGGTGCTTCGCTGGGCCGAGTGGGTCCCGCAGTGGTCAAGAAACCGAGAGAGGCAGGCGATCTATCTGGACGAATCGAGAGACCTGATGAAGACATTCTTTCCTGGGTGGACGCCAGAGGAGGTGGAAAAGTGGTCAAAGGTAGGAAGAGATTATAAAGAGTGAAGAAGATGTGATAAGTGATGTGAAGATGGATTAGCGGTCATGAGTGGAAGGGGAGAGGAATCCTACAAAGTTGTTGGGAGATGTTGAAGAGTGCGAGATACTGATGTTTCTCCTGTAATCAAGGAACAATATTTGATGTAAATATCCAATGGGACTATAATAATATAAGTATGGTACCATTTAGTTTTGGTCAATGAACCAAAGTGTTGTTGTCTCGTTCTGTTGTGACGTCACGATGTGAGCACATTTTAAAGAGGGTGGAGAGAGGAAGGAGCGGATAATGGAGCACCGGTGAGTTAGCAAGAGACGGAAGAAGAGTGACTTGATGCCATGAGCTGACAAAGTGAGCTTCCCTTTGCAGAAATCGCTCAGCAGAAACATCAAGGCTACAATGAAGGGTAGAAAACGCTTAACTCTGATTCTTGGAAAACGTTGTTAGAAGGAACAGTAGATTTGTGGTTTAACTGGAACATTTTAAATTAAAGTAGCAGCACCGCATGAGACAAATCCAGACTAAAAGGTAACCACAGTTGAGCTAATTAATTTGTTTAATCCGGACGAAAACAAACAGTGGAGTCTTCTATTCACCGTGACGTTGCCAGGCAACCTGCGGATGCGGATTACACAAACAAGATGAGGAGCACAAATTAGTGAGCTTCAAAGATGCTAATCTATGGGAACCCGTTCCCAGCTGTCTCCAGCTTCAAAGTGAATCGAAAGAAAGAAGAGTGGTTATCGATCTTCACATCTCACTCTTAACAAGAAAACAGAAAAGTCTATTTTTCAAATTGTGCAGCATCATTAGTTAAGGCACCTCACGGCTAATATGGTTCAATCACACAGCCCTTTTGGTTTGGTTTGATGATTTGGCATTTAATATTCACTATTCACCAAAAAGAACAATAAGACTGAGGATACATTGATCCTGTCGCAGGTGGACTTTGAGGCAGCAGCCCAGTCAGTAATGATGGAAACTCTCCGGGAGGTCAAAAGGTTAAGGCCCAAAGCATTATGGGGCGTCTCCCCTTACCCCAGCTGCTACAACGGCGATCCCGCCCTCACATCGTTGGCCAATTACACGGGCCAGTGCCCTGCTGCAGAGATGGCCCTCAACGACGAGCTCCTGTGGCTGTGGAAACGATGCTCCGCCCTCTACCCTCTTCTCACCCTGGAGAAGCTACAGGTGGGTAACACTTCTGTGTTGGACTAAAATAAATCAAATTGTAATATGTTTGTCCTCGTCCTTCTCAAAACCAGTGCATTGCAACATTTCTGTGTCCAGTGAAGGAATTTCACTATAAACCAACCTGAGTATTAGTTTAATGCAAATACTAAATAAATAGGATTGCTCTGGTGTAATGTGTACAATCTGTTCCCATTTTTTTCAATAGTGTGGAACCTCTGGAGGCAGGCTTCACCTGGCCAGCGAAATCCGAGAGGCAGTGCGAGTATCGTCTCTGAGTGGCACTGGGTCGGATCTTCCTGTATTCCCAATCGTCAGGAGTGTTTATGCATCAACAAACACTTTCCTGTCACAGGTGAGAAATCAATGTCTGGAACTTGACCCAAGTACCCTGCATAACCGACGAAGGACAACAAGTGCAGAGGAAGTACGGCAGGTGATCTGTGTTGAATCAGAGCACTAGCTATTCCCCGTTATAAGTAAATAATAACAAAGCTGAAGATGTATTGGGTTTACGCCTGTATCATTAGTTGACAGATTACTGAAAAATGAAGCTTACATGACGAGCAGACCGGTGTTTATACTATAACACAAACAGAGAAGATGAACAAGAAGCTTCTCTGTATAATGTCTTGTGAACAGGCAGACCTGGTGAGCACCATCGGAGAGAGTGCTGCCATGGGAACAGCTGGAGTTGTCATCTGGGGGAAGAGTGAGACTAAAACAGAGGTATACAGCGATACAAGTTCGTACACCCACAAATATATCTGCACACACTGTATGTTCACCGATTCTTTGGTTATGTTTTCAGATGAATTGTTCCTCATCTAACTAACACAAACATTGTGTTTCTTAATCCCGTGGGCTCCCAGAGAGAGTGTCAAGACCTGGCAGAGTTTGTCCGCAAGGTCCTGGGACCCTACTCCATCAACGTAACCACGGCAACCCGACTGTGCTCAGCCTCCCTCTGCCAAGGAAAGGGCCGATGCGTCCGTCAGAATCCAGAGAGCGCCGTCTACCTCCACCTCCCACTACCGTCCGAACCGGTGGAAAAGGTGACGGAAAAAGTGACGGAAAAAGTGACGGAAAAGGTGACGGAAAAAGTACGGGATTGTAATTTTTAAGTAGATTTCAAGATTTATCAGTACTGGATTTATAAAGCTCCATTCATGTATTGTATTGACATAACACATGACATAAATCCTGCTCACGAGCTTGAATCCCACCCCCACCGTGAGCCAGAAATAGAAGGATAGACTCGTTGTGTTGGCGGTGACCCAAAGGGTCTTATGACAGAAGAAGCTTTTTTTCAGTTTCCAGTTAATTAGCTACACAAAGATTTAACTGCCGCGGTCCACAGCATAGCTCCCACTACATGACTGTCAGAGTGGTTGACTTGTAATTAGGAGCCTGGAAGTGATGCTGCTTTTCACACTGCATGACTGAGTTGAGGACAGCAGGTCGAATGCCACAAGGTCCTTCACCAGGAAGAGTCCCCGATGTCCGCTGTGGACTTGTAACATGTGACATGTGTGTACATGTATCGTTGATGTAACGTGTGCAAAGTGGTGCATCCGCATGTTGTTGTCGGTACATGTGTTGACACTGAATGCTTAATTACAACTTTGCTCAAATTGACGTAAATCATGTAGGCAACGTGTCTGCAATAAATTGTATTATTTGAGGAAATCATGCTTTGCAGAAAGGTTCTTAACAAACATGATGGTGAGAAATAAGATTCGTCTACAATGTTTTGAAAAGATGAAAGCTCTGATTTCCCCTTTGACTCCCTCTGTTTCGTGACACTGGAGAGTCTGAATGCTCGGGTGCACGTGTTAAAAGGCAACGGTCAAAAGAGACACAAGTTCTCAACTTATGTTCCTTCCGCGTTTCCGTTGGAAACCAAACAACTTACTTTGAGTCACGACTGACAAAAATAACCTCGACAACAGCAGGGAGTCCAGTTGTCTGGAGATCTTTCATCTTTCGACAGTAAGAAAGCAGCGAGGGAAACAGTAGCTGACTTACAACAAAGTAAGATGTGCTGGAAGACTGCACGCAGGAACACTGTGTTCTCTGGGAACATTTGTCACTTTTTAGTTGTCATCAAATAGAAGACACAGCTATGACTATTGCCACAGAACATTATTAAAAGTTGGTTATTTCCATCTGAGTGAGCCTTTCTATTTATTATTTCATTTCCAGACTGAACCCGACAGCAACGTTTCCTAATGTGGACATTATTTTTCTATCCATCAGGAAGAGACGGAAAAAGCCACAGATCAGCCCGAAACAAACACCAAACCATCCGAACCCGACCCGGCTGAGATCTGGAAGAAGGACTTCCAATGCCAGTGGTACGAGACGGCAGACGGGGACGTCTCGGACCAGCAGTCCCCCAAAGACGGGGCGTCTGCTGGGGGCGCTGCGAAAGCAAATCCTGGAGACGTTTTGGGCAACGCAGCAGCTTCGACTGCAAAGGGTGCCTCTGCGATTGAGTTGAGAGGAAGCAGCTCGCCAGGAGCCGGAAGCCCGACGCCTCCACAGGAAGTGGCTGCAGGCGGCGGGACAGAGTCCCCAAGCGTCCCGATGGTCACCGTTCTGCTGCTGCTGCTGGCGGCTGGACGTCTTTGCTCGGAACCTTAAACTGAGAAGAAACCATCCTTTACCTGGGTGGTCTGGGCTGTAAGTCAGAGCCCGTCTGAAGTGCCCTTGAGCAAGACACTGAATCCCTGCTGGCTGCAGGTGTGCTGCTTTGTTAAAGAAATTAATAAAAAGATATTAAAAACAACAACAACAAAAAAAAAAGAGACTTGTCAAGTTCCAACTGTGAACTATCACTGAATGTGCCAAGCGACAGTAGAGGTACAAACACGCGTCCAGAGGCTGAATTTAACCCTTTAACTGTAACAGCCAGGACGTCTACACACCATATAGTCACTATACACACCATATAGTGACCCGGGCGTCCCTCTTCAATCCACCGTTAACTGCAGATTACACTTTCGCAACACTGGCTTTAAAACCTGCACATGTTTTTTTTTCTTTGGACATTATTTTCTTTCCAGTCCTTTTTTGAATGCTGATGAATTCCTTAAAATGAAACGAAACCATCGCCGTTGCAAGATAGTACGGAGGCCGGGGGGACCTTTTGTTTATTTATAAATTGGGTAAACCGGGTTATTTAATCTGCTTGACAGAGTGTCCTGTGATCATGATCCTTATGAAATAGCACAGTAGGAAACGCATAGTAAGAAGTACACATGGAAAGTGATGTCTGAATTCCATTTCACACGGTACATCAAGGAGCTTTTACTCTCACCAGCGTGTAGTTTCTCCTACAATGTGTAATAAATGCAGGAGCGCTTTTACTCAAAGCACACACCATTCAACTGGTCTATAAGAGAAACCCCTGCATACATGTATATATTTTTTGTAAGTCAAAGTTGTTTGTATCTGATTTTTTTCCATACACACCCTTCAGTCCTCCCTAAAGCAGTACACTTATAAAACAAAAAAAAAAGATGAAAACGTTCGTTCTTGCATCTCTCAATTGAATGTGAATTTATTTGTTATTTTTCATTCAAATATACACTCAAGACAAAGGGTATATAAATTGTTCTTTAGTTACAGAAAGAGATCATATCTACACAGGTGCGTCATCTTATTGTACAACAGAAAATGAATAATCACACATTTACACTATGAACAAGGACATTTTCTCTCCCATCTCCCATCTCAGGGATCCTTGGAAATCTACTAAGACACCAAAATGTCCACTCTGTGTCGATTTACCTTTATCTGCAAAAGACAACTTTGCAATCACGGACATTTGGAGGTAAGTTTTGGCCAAATGAACGTCAGCAGGATCATTCCAGTCTTTCCTTTAAGCTTTTTAGACGTGCGGCCCTTCTTCGCTGACGTTTCCCCTGACAACTAGAACAAACCTTTGCCAACAAGTCTGAGGAAAGTGACAATGAGGGATGGAGCAGATTGGACCCAGATTGCTATTGGAGGTTTTTGTGAAGCCATTAACGCCTTTCTCGCAGGACAGAAGACACAGTAAGAGTTTACAATGCAGAACAAAGGCTAAAATGTTCAAGTACTTTCCTTCCAGTTTTGTTTTGAAATTTATGTAGAAGAATATCGAGAAATCCACCAAATGAAATCTTTGCTGCCATCGGTAATAGGTCTACGTAGAAGAAATACAATGATCTACAACCCACCAGAGCAATGACAGACATACCACAGTATCTTCATTAAATCAAGTACAAAGCTCCATGATGGTAAAGACTGAATCTAGAGTCCAGAGATGTTGAAACAAGTGGACCAAACCTTCCTTCCAGAAACGCAGCGGCTGCGTCACTGTGACTGGTCAGTACAAGCAGAAGGAAGCAATTGCTGGTTCTTCAATAAATTCAGATTTCATTAGCGTCTTCAGGTTGGCTAAAATTATCACGTTTCTACTTTTGATGGTCAAATAAGTACAAAGCCTTTCAAATCGGTTATGCCATTGAGAATGCTGGGATATGCAGATTTCTCTGATTGCCACAAAGAGGTTATGCAACACCTGGCCTGATGTGTCTTTAAATTACAGAAGAAGACCTGTGAGTGATGAAGTTTGCAAGTTTTTAATCGATAAACTGCATGACCGAATCCGAGTAGGAAAAGTGAAACACTTTCATTACTTGCGACAAGTACCCTCAAGCAGTATTTGACCTTAAACTCCAAATGCTCAAGTTCAGAGGAGAAAATTCCGTTTGTACTGGTTAGTTTCCAGTGACAGATGTGGTTTGCATCGTTGTTGAAAAATGCTAGCATGCTGCAAAACCTAATAAATAAATATTAAAATAACGACGCTCCCCTCATTAAGCCTGCATTGAAAGAATCGGTTGTTGCATAAGATTAAAAAATAGACTTTCAGTTCCATGTGCAAATGTCTGTCTACTGAGCAGTTCATGCTGTCCGCTCTATCCGCAGAGAGACAGAGAGACAGACATCGCCCCCATGTGGCGAGGAAACATTAGTGCAATCTGAACAAAGCGGCCTGGACGGATAACGACACAATATTCCTCCACAGACTGTAAACTCATCTTCAAGGATCGGTTTGCATGAGTGGTTTTTGTATGTGTGTGTGTGTGTGTGTGTCTCTAGGGCACTGGGCCGAGTATCTCCAAAATAGATTAGTGAGGTATATTTCATGACCAATTCATTGGAGGACGTGATGGTGGCTGTCAAAAAACAGAAGATAAGAGAAAACCCTCGAGAGAAAATCAATGGCAATTCAGTCTGAATCTCAAAAGAACAACAAAGACGACCATCTTCAAACGATGAACACGCGGCGGCACTGACTGAATCCCAGCCTGCCTAGTAGCAATGGTTCCTGGAATCCAGAGGTGCGCTCAATCTTTAACCTGCTGCCTGCAGAGAGGTGGGCCGACTGGCACACAGCCCCGTGCCGGATGCTCTCGATGCTGGAACTTCTCAGCTGGGGAGTGTGTTGAGAAACGGACAGTCGGGGCTACTTGCAGATCGCCTCCAGCGCGTCTAGGGTGCGCTTGATGTCACGGATCTGGGCCGACAGGGTGTGAATGGGCTGCATGGAGCGGTCCAGCTCCTCGCAGCGAGCCATCAGTGTGTACATGCCCTGTGGGAGCGGAATCACAGGACAGCCAGTAAAAGGGCTGAAGCTTTAATATAAACCAGCCATTTCGGAAGTGAATAAAATGGGAACATGGAGTTAAAACGATGAGAGCTTCTTTTTTTCATCCACGCTCATTTGCTTCGATAACAAAAAAAAGGTTTTTAACAAGACAGGTTTTTGTAACCGTCTACAATTCACGTCATGGTTGGACCAGTAACTCGCTCTTTGTGTTTTATATATTGCAACATTTCCCAGAACTACCACCGACCCCCCCAGATGAACTATCTCTGTCAAAATAACACACATAGGGAGATACAGAGATCCACGGTGTCACCTTTATGCTCATGTCCACGGACTCCCCCAAGCTGTCGACGGAGTCTCTGTAGGTCTGAATGTAGCCCACACTGAGAGCGGTCATCTGAGTCGGGGACAGAGAGACCGATCCGTTAATGAAAACAGACATGGGATATATTTGAGACATACAATATGACGAAGCTCAAACACACTATGCATCCTGAACAGAAGACTCACATTCTGAATTGTTCCATTGAGGCTCCGCATCATCATCTCTACACTGTGCGCCACCTCCTGGGTGTGTCTCTGAAGATCCAATAGGACGGCAGGATCAATGGGCGGGATGTCCGCCGGTCTCCGGGACAATCCCCGGCTTCGGAGGATGGGACCTGAACAGTCCGCTGGTGAGAAATAATTAGGATATATGAAGGATAACTTACTATATGTAAACATAATAGTAACATTAACATTTTGATTGATAAAAGGACCAATAACTCATTGATTGTACAAAATGTGGATTACTTTTCTTTCAGGACAAACACAAACTCAGATTTAGACAAACACGTCATGTGTGCGAGCATGAGGTAACGACCACCTCAAAGAAATCGCTTTATCAAGTGAAAAAAACATCACGCAAATGACACGCAAGAGCAACTGATGAATGATTCCCATTAGAAGGAAAAGCGTCTCTTACAAAACAACTGCCAGCGCAGATTCAGACGAATCACGGCCCTTAATAAAAACACAAACGCTCTGAATGGTGAAGTAAAGGAAATGAGCAGGTTGCTATCACTGAAATGAATTCCTGTGAGGCTGCAGCAGGACCATGGGGAGGAAATCCCTCCCGTCAAACCAAGCCAGAGTCATCTATCCTAATTCAATCAGCAGGTGGAGCGAATGAGCTGCCACCGAGGCCACATTGAGCTGCGGCCCCCTGTTTAAATTGAGTGTCCGGTTCAGCAGACACTGGAATACAGATGGGATTATTTCCTCTGGTTGAAGGGCAGCGGTTCAGCCTCTTCCTCCTGGCTGCTGATGGACAGGCTCGGCTTTGTCAACCTGCTGATTGGGATTCGATCACCAAACCTGAGGGAATGTTTCTCCATCCACAAGTCCAGTTTTATGGCCCTCAAATTGTGACTACACAGGACAACCAGCTGCATCTAAAATTCACCAACACTTTTTGGTGCTTTCTTTATGCGCTGGGATGTGTTATTTTATTTTAATTGGTACATCCCTCATGTGGAGCAGATGACTGAGCAGAAAGCAGAAACTAGGGTTGAAATGATTAGCGCTTACCACAAAACCCCATTTCACATTCGTCATAATTCGACCAATCTTAAAAATGTTCAAGGAAAGAGCTGACCTCTCAACAAAAACCTTAGAATACTCCTGTGAAGTTTCTGTAATCTTCTGCTATCATGAGACCAGGGCCGGCCATGTCCATTTCAACAAAGCAAGGAAAAGATTGTCCACTATATATTGAATGTAATATCGTGGACCGGTCAAGAAGGTCCGGCTGAATAATGAGGGGGTAGCAGTCGTTGCGAGCCAACTGCACTGCGTGCCCTCTGTTCGCTGGTAGGCAAAACTGCCGTACACGGTAAGACGAAACGTGAAGAAAGACGCGTGGTGACACTTGGTGGTTGAGGACCACTCTTCTATATTACTTCTTGACCTGGAATTACAATGATGAGGAATGAGGAAGGGTTACTCACAGTCACTGCAGTCCAGACTGGGCTTGGAGCTCATTTTGATTTTCTGCTCCAGGTTCTTGGTGATGAAATGAGTCAGATCCCCGTCTTGGCTGACTGTTCCCTCTAGCTCCAGAGCCGAGGAGATCGTGGCCCTCCGGCCCTCTGACTGGCCGCCTCTGCCCCCGACCCGGGTCCCCGAACCACCTGTGGAGAACACACCAAAATCAGTTAAAGAAAGTTATCAAATATTCCTAGTAATTACTGACTTGTCAAGAAATGGAAGACCTAATTAATTTAGTTACAGTACCCACTAGATTTCGATTAAGTGATAATCAATAGAGGTAGAGAACCAAGCCAAACCGCAGTAAACATAAAATCAAACCTGTTTGAGGGATATCTACCTCCACAAGCTTGGCTGATTTCATCGAGGCTCTTGCTGTCCTGCATCCCCCTGACGTTGCGTACCCAGACCTGGGCCATGACGTGGGGGGGGCAGGGGATATCGTCTGAGGGAAGAAGAGGAGGGGGGAGAGGAGAGGATGTGGACGAGGTGCTGGGACCAGGGGCTGAGGAGGAGTAATGTCGTGAAGACTAAAAAGAGAATGGAAGAGGAGGTGGGTAAGAGAAGTTCAATTACTGCTTAGCAAATCATACTGCTGTATGAATAAATCATTATGAGAACAGCAAAAGAGCCCATTATTATTTATGCTCACAAGTCCACTCTTCTAATTCATTGACTTCTTGTCCTGGACCCCATTTTTTTGTCATTTTGAAACCGTTTTTAAAGAAACAATGACCAACTTGGTAGTGAGACGTTGATAAAAGTGTGTTGGCTCACTTGAGGCGCACTAAAGTCTCATCATTGAGTTCATTTAAAAGCGAGCAGTTAAGTGATGGTTTCTCTACAACATTTCCTTGCATTGACCTCAGTTCAGATTGTGCAAATTGAACCAGCTCTTCTCTCGTAATCCTATGGTGTCCGCCACTCAATCCGGTTCACACGATCTAATAAAGATCACAGTCCACTCACCTCTCCGTGTGTTCTCCCTCCTGCACGCTGATTAATCCACTTTTTTTCATTTTTCTCATCCTCCTCCTCGTCCTGTTTCTCCTTCTCGCCGTCTTCCTCCTCGTCTCGACTGTCGTTGTCTCCATCCAAGGTCTCGGTCTCAGTCTGCCGTCTGCCTGTAGCAGCGGGGCCTCCTCGCTGAGATGACTCTTTGGAGTGTGCTTGCTGTGCGGGGTCCCACAAAAGAGCTGCATCGGGAGGCTCGGCACGGTCACAGGCCTCACAACTGTCTGTGTCTTTGGAGCCTGAGTCCCCGTCTTCTGCGCTTCCTGTGCGGGAGGCAGCGGGGAGTGAGGCGTTGGTCACGTGACGGGCGTGCTGCGTACAACTGGTAGATGTTCTCCCGTTATTGTACTTCTCTGTATCAAAGTGGCTTTCACCATCGTAAATTCGGTTTTCCGCATGCATGTGGTTCTCCGTATCCTCTGATGCCTGCCCAGGACGGGGCTCTCTGCTCCCGGCACATTTGACCGAGACCGGAACGCGGGCTCCTTTCTCTGATGAGCCGGGTGTCAAAACCCCGTTAGCTGCTTCTGGCACTTCTGTGCCAATCACAGGGGAGAGACTCATCCCTCCACCTGCTGGGGAGGAGACAGACTTTATGATTCAAATACAGTGTGAAAAGAGTTTTCTGGCTCTTACTGTACTTACTTATTTTTTGATAACTAGTGTTGATCTGATATATTTTTTACTTATACAATGTTTTATTTTTTATATACATTTGGCTGGGGAGCAAAAACATGTTTTTCGCAAAGGGTGCAGATCAGTTAAAATAAGGACTTTACAAAGATAAAGGTTATATATATATATATATATATATATATATATATTTACTATATCCTACTATTTAAATGGCCAAGCGTATTTACATTAAATCATCACAAGATATCATGTGTGGTTAAGTGTGACATGTTGTAACGTTAGGTTGCTTAGCTTAGCATTAGCGTATACACTTGACGATAACTAACGTTAAGTTGGTGCTAACTAGCAAAGCATTCTAATGGTTTTGAGCAAAAGACGCCTGAGAAGGTCGATCCGACGTCCGTGGACAATTGCCATAAAGACATGAAGGAGACATGAATAACTTCCCGTCAACGTTGAGGAAGTTGATGTCCTCTAATGATCAGCTAGCTAGCTCGCTGTCAACGTAACGTTAAATGTTGGATGATGGCTAATGGCTAACGTTTGCTGTTCGGGCCTTTACGTTACCATTCTTACACAGCTCGTGTGTTATCGTATCACGCGGTTACACGACACATGGTTATTTAATGCGAAAAAGACAGTTACTACTGTACTGATAAAGTCATATGATGAGTACGTCATGGCCGAATTTCACGAAGAAAAACACTCACCTGTGTAGTTCCTCTTCAAAAGAATTTATCAACCGAGTCCGATAATAAAATCCTTCCCCACGATTCTCGGGAGAAAGGTTCCGCCTTGCAACAAGCAACCATGAAAACATCGAAAATTATCGAGAATATTGTATATATATATATTGTATATATATACAGTCTTCTTCGTTGAATAGTGCTAATATATACACAGTTCTATTGCCACTTGTTTACATACGGATTTTGAAATAAGGAAGAAAAAGTCATTGTTGTTATCTCGTATCTACAAAAGAAGACCTAACGTTAAGTATTCCTCGAGTAGTGCAGTGCATGGTGCGCCACAATTAAACCCCGCATATTGTGTGATTTATTTGTCGCTATTCGTAGCATCACTAGTTTCACGCTGCCCTCATCTCCGGTCTCCTGCAGATGGAGACAAACACCACGGTCCCTCAGGACATTACTTGCCCAACATTACAAGATTTCAAAATTAAAATTGAATATGAGCTGTTTCACCTTATGAATGAATGCGTGTTGACCTTGAAGATATTATTTGTAGCCTATAATAAATAAAAACAAATTTGAGTATAAGCTATATATTTTTAAAGCATATCATATTGCAGCTGCTCAAGCAGCAAACTACTGCATAGTGAGTAGCAACATACAATTTGTCAGAAATTTAAATTTCAGGAATCATAATGGCATGATTGCTGTTCCTTTCTGTGGTATTGTGCTCACAGTATTGATTCGCAAATGAGTATCTTCTCATGTCCAGTCCTCATTAAAATTAATTGGCTGTTACCAAAAGGACAGCAAGGGCAAATGTCACACAGTCGTGTCCAGTGAGCTGATAAACTGTTGTTCTTGTTTTGCCTCATAGACCATTAATGAATTTAAGAAATGTGTTTGCAATTATTCAAACTACTGGTGAAAATGACTGGAGAGGAGGTGTAAATAATGAAAAGACCTTGTTTTGCCTGTTTCCCTCCACAATAAAAGTCTGTGGCCTTTTTTTAAAACCCCTGAATGTGGCAAGAAACGACAAACACTGCTGCACAAGAGGAGAGAGGATTGGTGAACAGACTGTCACGCAGACTGTCACCACATCTAAAGGTCTTTTAAAATTGGTAATCAGCCCCATCCATCCTGGCCAGCTGCTCTCTCCCTGGTGCTGAGTTTTCTCCCATTTCAAATATCAAAGCTTTAGATCATTGACTAAGCCCTCCAAAATCCGCCAATGGCTTCCAAAGTTCCACAATACCTGATAACCACCACGACCTTTATCACAATTTAGACCACTGTCAGAGAGAACCTTTTAAACTTTTTTAAGTAACTGCCACAAGAAAGGCGACGTTCGTGGAAATGAGGCAAAATAAGCAAATTGAAAGCACATGTCTTCAAACAGATGTGATCATTCCATAAAAAAGCTGAAGACTGTATGTTGCACATACGCATCCAAAATGACAGGGAGGGCCCATAGCGCTTAGTCCAAATAAAAAATATGAATTGCATCTCTGTTCAGAGGCAGGTTGAACCCGGGATATGAACCTCCTGTTCCCCCCAATGTTGTATGCACATGCGACTCATCAACTGGTGACGGCAAAAACTGCAGACAAAGAGTTATATCGCAGAAAGACGGGACCTCACTCTGAACTCCAAAGGAATCTTTCTTTGTTTTAAATGCTATCTGTCAATATGTCAGTGTACAGACAAATACCAGAGGTAGAGAAAGGGCATTCCACTAGAAGTCTCGGATCTGTTTTATGAACATTTACCTGGAAGCAGTGTCCCACAGTAGAAACTCTCAAGTATTTACATTCTAAGATATTTATTTGAGTTTGATTTATTTATTTGTTTAAAAGGAAATAACAAAGCTTATTTGAAAGGTTAACAGGGCAGCGGTAGAAGAAAATGTATTCGTTAACAGTATTCGGGCAGAAGATCAAATGGTGCCAATTCAGGGGAAAGGACAAATTCAAAGAGAGATGTAGAAATATGTGCATATTCAATCCCCATGGAGCACTTTAATGTCCAGTGGAATTCAATTGAGATTCACAGAACAACCTCAGGGGCAGTTAGCTTTAAAATAATACTTTGATGCACACTTTAATGCAGCAGGAGAACTGCGTTGAAAAGGGATACTGGGGCGCTTTTATGAGCAAAATGGTGAAAAGAAAAGGGCTGGTTGACTGAGCGCTGGGGGAAAAAGTCATAAAAGTGAATGAGTCACCCGTGTGACAAATGCCAAAAGTGTCTCCTCCTAACTGCTTGTTTCCTACGATGAAGTGCATAATCCATCCACGGGGCAGTTTTTTATTAAGTCCCTGGGAGGGAACGGAAAATGACAATAAATATAGATTCATTATAAATGACCACGCCTGTAAATTCTTTCTATAATTGTGCCACAGGAACACACGTCTGGAGGCAGATGTTGAAACCGTGGCAATGGATTGCTGTCAAATGGTCACTAACAATACCAGCCCTTTTTTTTTAACAAATGTGCTTTACGTTTGTGGTTTGAATCACAGCTTCACTATCTTCATGAAGTACAAGATTGATGTAGAAATGCTGAATAAGTTTTGCTGTTTATCTGTTCCCACAGCTGTAGTCAGACAAGAGCTGTAATCACTACCTGATGGTCATGGCCAAAATATTTTGCAATGATAATATTATTTTGATATCTTTTAGAAAATTTTAAAGACAGGAAATAACTTCATACATCTTTATTCAGCATTTTGTTTTGGCTGATGTAACACGCTTAATATAAGCGTGCCGTGAGGAATATCAATATATACTTGTTAATACAAGTATAACGCAACATCCCCACAATTATTACCAAATGTAGTAACATAGTTGTATTCTAAGCTAACAGCTTTGTAAAGCTATTGTGAAGACGCTAACATGTAAACACCAAAATGTTTCTATTTAAGTGTCTGTAATAGATGAAACGTGACTAATCAACAATGAGAACAAGTTCACATTGCTTACATAAAATGCATCGAATAAAAATCCTGTTCTATCCGATTCCTCTTGGCCTCAAAGGGAAGCTTGACACCAAATAGCCTTTATTTATCTAAATGGGATCTAGTTTGCGAGGTACGGTCTTATCCTTTGGCCACTCAGGTGAAAGTCTGTAAGACTGTAATTCTGGTCTCACATCCGTGCTGTCAGACAGTCGAGGCTCGTAAGATGCAGTGGGGAAAGAATGTCTCACTCCAAACGAATGCTGAATTTTAAATGCTTGGTTTTCTGTTGCTGTAATATCCTGTTCCTCAAAGTCCATTTCCTCCAAGAAATTCCTGTCAATGATTTCAAAGCTCACAAAGTCAAGCGCGCAGTATATTACATTTAAAGCCGCAGTTGCACATGGTTGACGAACAGCTAGTCAAGGCTGAAAATTAGCCTGCATAAGTGACATTAAAAACAAACAGCAGAAAACAATGATGCGCTGCCCCCCACATACCACAAGAATATGGAAACAGTTAAAAAACTGAAGGAAGGTTATCCAGCTCGATTGGAACGCATCTTTGACCCGATGATTGCTCAGCACAACATACCAGTATTTGAACATTAAATGGTGAAGTACTATATGTGGTCACTTTGGCAGGGGTGGGTAGTGGTTCGGGGTTGGATGGTATGTTAACAAAGTGATGGACCGCGTGTCTCAGAAATAAGGCCCCTGGAATGGAAGGAATCCTTGTAAAATAATTGTGCAAGAGTTTGTGTGCGAACCAGTTTGTGTTTAATATGCAAGCTCAAAGTAAAGTGTGTGAAAGACTCCAAAGAGCTGCGCTTCGTAGGTTAGGATCATGGACCAGAGAGATTAATAATGGGTTTTAGAGGAACAGTGTGGGAGTACTAATGGTGGAAATAAAACATCTCTAAGTATGATTTGATTGGTATATAATCACCTGAAAAAAGAACCATATTCATGTTATTTCAGAAGGGTCGCATGTATTTACTTGCATGTTATATGTACTGTATATACATGTTTTAGTGTGGTCCAGTATGTGTGCATATTTCTCATCACTATAATAAACCACAAAACACACAGACACATACTCAATTGAGAGCAGACCTTTATACATATCTACAAAAAGAAAAGAAAAAACAAAGTTCCTGCACATGAGCGATCAAGACAATTTAATTATGTCCCCAAAGAAGTTATTCAGGATAATAACAAGGACGAATATCGACACTGAGATGTTACCACAGTAATCAACAGTAAAACACGCAAGGCCGAGAGCAGCCGTGCACCAATCTTTGTCAGAAACACAATGGATGACATGCGCCGCCATGAAAATGTCAAGTTCTGCCTCTAAATCCTCCACATATACACACAGTGCGCGCTCATATACACACACGCAGCGTCCACAAGTAAGAGACCCTCTAACCTTTATTTTTCATATTCTCTAGGTTGTTGAATTGGATGCATCTCCATGTGAGAGCCAAGACAAAATAAGAACTTTTGCTCAGGCAGCATACTAAATGAAATCCAAGCTGGCATCTTCTCACTAGCAAAATTCTGAAAAACAGGCGCCTAATTTGATGTGATAACTTTGGCTCACAGAATGTGTGAACGTCTTTGCAGAGTCTGCTTTTTTCATTTGCCAACAGTATGTTGCCCGAAGGCTGGTCAGTCATGTTGCCTTATTTACTGAACTGTAACTCTCTGTCTCTCCTTGCTTGCCTCTGATGTTTGCACTGTAACGTAATGGCTAGAAGGATTCTCTCATTGGTCTTTCTGAAAAGTCAAATGTCCCTGAGGTTCACATCCATTTTAAAAGGAATTGCAAGGCCAGCTAGCTGTACATCCTGTTGCCATTCTTTGTGCACAGCTGCTGGTTGTAGCTTAGCTGACATGATAATTGCATCAATGCACTCATCTTAAACAATTTCTCCCAAAATGTTTAACCATTAACAGCTGAACTGGATGATACTAAAGCTGGCATAACACCATTTTTTGATTATTACTACAATTCATTCATTTGTCTATGTACTAATGTAGAAATAACTTCTATTATCTTGGTTAAAGTAACACAGTGTTTACACGTTAATGCCCAATTGTGTATAACTGTGTACTTTTTAGCAACAAGATGTGTTGGCATTCAACAACCCAGACAGTATGTCGGTGGTGACGGCTCATACAATGTTGTTTGTGAATGCTCACAAACAAAGTGTGTTTGCTTATACTAACCTAAATGTCATATTGGACAGCAGAAAACACCAAATCCTAATTATAATTTGAATCTTACTGCAGCATCACACTCCCCCTCCTTTCCTTATTGAGGCTTGGCTGTCCCTAACACTTGTACACTTTCAACGTTTCAACCCACTCCCGTAGAAACTCGCTCTCTTCACTCAACCACACACATTCAGAAGTAGCTCGGGGCTGGTTGGCTCTTTCATGTGGCCAAAGCCAAGGAGCAAAGTCCAATGTGCATTTTCTGCGGGTTCGCTCTTCTCTCCATTCGTCTGGTTTATTTTTCGTTCAGCATCAAATTTGTCTAGAATCCCTCGCTGAGCTAAATGTTTGGTCGATTTAATGGCTTGGCTTCTGAACCTAAGATTCAGCTCCTCTCGCTGTGATCCCACTCATATAAAACATACGCACACACAAATGCATAGTGAACAAACACACATATTCAGAAATACACACAACCAGCAATGCAATGCAATGGGAAGCTAAAGGACCCGGTAGGATGACTAAATATAAGAAAATGCTGTTATGATCGGACTACTCCATGAACGTAAATGTGTTGTTCAGCAAACCATTTTAAATAAACCAAGTTTTAATTCAGTGAGTTTTTCTCTTTTCCGCTGTCCATTATCTCTGTAAACTACTGCTCCATCAGATCAGTTCTATTTCAGCATTTATTTAGTAGCCGCTGTTCTGGAAAACAACTTAAACCATCCGAGAAACAGAAACACAAGCCCTCAAAATTTCAGCTAACAGTACTTTGACCCAAAGCAATCACATAAGTGGCCAGAATCCCAATAAAATACCATGACTGCTGGCAGTATTCCTCTAAATTTCAACAGGTGGTGATGGAAACGTCTATCAAAAGAGACAGAAAACATGGAAATTACAAAAAAACACGGTGCAGATTTCATTGTGTGCGCACAGTAGATATATAGAAAGAAAGATTAGAACAATATACTTAAATAAGTATTCAGTTTATGAGACATGAAGGTTGAGTTGGTTGATTTTGAAATTCTGAAACAAGCAGTTTTACTGTAGACAAAAAAATAAATACGACTGAGCAGAAAGCAAAATAGAGATGGAACAAGTTGTGTTGATTTAACGTTATGGACAAATCACAATTTACTGCCTTGTAAAGTCACCAAAGTTGAATCCCACGAGTCCAGTCGCCACCGGTCCTGTTCAGCACTTTCTCAAGTTCCAACTAATAATAAAAGCTTATTATACATTGAGCCTGCATCATAATTTGCAGCCAGATTTCATGACCAGTTGGAGATACGAGACCAGCGACATATATTAGCCCCACTTTTTTAGTAGAGCTGGAACGACTCATTGTCATTAATGGCCCATTTAGGGGGGGGTGAACCATAGGTTGAAAAACATGCATGATCTGTACAGAGTCATCAGACATGAGCAAAGTTACAATCAGATAGATACAGAGCTTCACTTACTAGAACTCGGATATGAAATACATTTAAAATGTCTGGGTTTTGTCAAAATGGCCGTGTTTATGACGCTTAGTTTCATTGATTGTACCTCAATAGCAGCTAAACATGTATTTTCCCAGCAACTTATGAAGCATCTAAATGTATTTGTTAGCGTTGATGTGCAGATGTTTCTTCTTCCTACGTAACAATTAACATTATCTTCTAAATCTAGACACTGTACCCATGTAGGACTCCAGGCAAACTAAACCAACATGATAACACCAAGTTCCCCGTGTCTTCATTTCTATTCCCACTCACCGATACCGAGCTCTCAGGCGCTCCGCAGCTACAGATTTGTCTGTGTTCATTACCAGATAACATTTCTGAACCATGAGGAGACTATAATGGAAACATCTCCCACGTTGCGTTTGCACCACATCCTGGGAAAGTAGATCTGTGACCTCATGGAAGCGGACCCTGCCTTTGGTCTTTAGGTCACAGACCACCAGTCAGAAGAAACCAGTAAAACTCTGTGGGTGTAGTGTTGGCAGTGTTGGCATGTGATAAAGAACACTCATCAGTGCTATTCACTACTATTCACTACCTACAGTTGCCCTCTCAAAACCCTTCAACTGTCACTGCTGATTGATTTGAACTCCTTTTCCTTCCATTTTACATCTTAGTTTAGCTGCTAAGCTGTTTTGAGTACAGTCTCGGCTGATGTGTTCGGGGCGCCTCTGAAGGTGAACTGCAGCCATCTATCCTTGTTTGTCTTCTTGCTTTGACTCTTCCACCGACATTGCGTGTCCATCAATTGGACAACATAGTGAAGTTTAGAAAATTTGGCTTGCAAATGCAATAACATAACTCTGAGTTCTGAAGCATTTTAGAGTTGCTTTTTCAAAGCGTACTGAATTTAATGGAAACCAGTGTCTGCCTGGAAGGTATGAAATCAATCTAAACACATCTGCCTTGCTTTAAAGAAGAAGGGGCAGTGTGCACGTGTTTCCCCTGTCTGTCTCAGAACGCAGGTCAGTTAAGACGCAGTCTAAGGTGTTCGACGTTTTCCTTTTTATTCACAAGTCTTTGTTCCTTTTGTTCACAACCTACTATACATCAGTTTGTTTATGTGTAGCTCGGTCTCACTATGAAGAAAGAATGCCTTTTTTTGTTTCTAGATAAGTGCATGCGCATGTCATAGTCTTTTTACACACAGTATGTATGTGTGTCTCAGTGTATAAGTTAAGTGTGTGTGCGTGTACATGTGTGTGTCTTAATGTGGACGTTAACATAGATGTGTGTGTGTGTGTGTGTGTGTCTGTGTTTAAGTCACTGAAAATCTGCGCTTTCGTTCAAGCGCTCCTGGGTGCCCTCTGCTGCGGCTTGCTCCTGCTTTTCCTCCCCGCTGCTCTTCCTCCTCCTCCTCCTCCTCCGCCTCCTCCTCGTCCTCCCCCGTGCTTGTACCTTTCGCCCTTCTCCTTCTCCTTGTTAGGCACTGCCATGATATCGCTATGGCGACGTTGGCTGCGTGGGGGGCGGTATCCCAGCGCCCGGCAGTGCTGGCCGAGGTTTCCGGGGTGAATCAGCGCCATCACATCCTCGTACCAGGGCTGTTGGCCTGGGCTCTGATAGGACGAGGCAGACCAGGAAGCAAGTAGGCGATTGGCTGAGGGACTCCAGACAGACAGGCGGACGGTGACGGCGGTCCAGTGGTAGCCGTGCTCCTCCACCTGGCAGTGGTAGACGCCGCCGTGAGACAGCTCAGCTTGACGAATCAGGACGCCGCGCTCAATCACCACTAGCTGGTCACCTGTGACCACCTGGAGAGAGAAAGGAATAAATGTATCAGATGAATGCTCAGGATTCAGGTTTTTTTGTATTTGGTCGTCTGGCCTTAAATGAGTGATGATTGGCTTGAAAACATAGAATATGCACTCGCAACATACTCAGCAATTATTTGCAGTTGGTGCATATGTGTTGCAGGCTGGATTCTTAACAAAAGTAGATAGTTGGTATTGTAGAGAGAGAATAAAGTATTTCAGTAAAATGTGTGTGTGTGTGTGTGTGTGTGGAGGGGGGGGGGGGGGGGGATACCTGGTTGAGTTCAGGACTGTTTTCTCCAGCCTGTTTGTACCAGGTAACGGCAGCGTGTCTGGATCGAGGCAGACACTCTAGGTAGGTGCTGTTGCCCTCGGCAACCATCATCATCCTCTGTTCCGCCTCGACCTGCAGTCCGGCTGGATGGACGAAAGATCGAAAGAAAGAGATGCAAAATATGGTTAGAGATCCGTTTTTCGTTCCATTTTAGTTCTCATTGCTTTCCTTTGTCATATTATTTAAATGTAAGCCTATTTGACAACATACATTTACGATGCATTATTTGCATTCAGTGTGTTTAATGAGTATGAGTTTATCTGGAAGTGCTAAGGATGGAGGGGAGTGGTGCACATTGTAAAGCTCCTTGTACAGCTCCTTTCTATATTCAATAATACATTTATTATTTTGGGCCGTATAAAAAAATCTGACAAGAATGTTGTAATTTCCCTTGAATATATCTCACTGTAGCTGAGGCAATATCATTGGAAAGCTAAAATATTACACTTATGGCCTTCTCGAGGTTACGCCACTGCAACTGTATCTGTATGTCTGCTGTATATTGCTGAATAAACTATTGCTTGAACATAAGTTTGCTCCTCACCTCCTTGTCTGACACACTGAGTAAGCGGATCCTCATCCTCCCCTAAGTGACGAGCGTTCCTTCTGTGGAGAAGAAGACATCAAATACAAATAATAAGGAATCACAACCTGCTTTTTGCTCATAGAGCTACAGTATTCATTACACCATGGAATGTGTGGAAGTGTTTGACTTGACAAACTATATACTGATATTACAGAGATATTTATTATAAGGTAAAGTTGTTGGATTTTGTTCGTGCAAAGTGATCATTTGGGATGATGGTGCTACTAAGGGCGTCACTTGCAAATCTAGTGGAAATAAATCAATATGTTTTAAGTTGCAGAAGAAAAAGTGACCTGGCTGGGAAAAATGCTTGGAATTTAATCAGAAAGAATTGAGTTCAGATGTAATTTGACCCACATTTCAAAGTATCAACAAATGTGGTTCAGATCTCATTTGAGAAGATTGATTCCATAAGTTTCTCCTTAGCTATTCAGTCTTTAAAAGGGGGGAAAACAGACACTGTAAAAGATATCCAACATGGCCAGATGTGTGTTGTTTTGGATGAACGGATGTTATTGGTCATGCCTACCTGCGCACAGTGGGCATGTAGGGGCTGCAGGCATGTCCGTCCCAGGTGCAGTAGGGATCTCTGGCCAGGCAGCACTCAGCGCAGGCCTGACCGTACAGCTCACACTGGTAGAGCGCCAGCTGGGACACGCCCTCACTGGAGCCCACGAACAACCACTGCTGGAGGAGGATGAAGGGGGCCGAGTGATGAATGGTTGGGGTGGAGAAAGGGTAATGCATGCCGCAGAGCCAACAGAGAAAGAGCCTGTTCTATTTGCTCCCGAAAAACAGCTTGACTCATTGACAGTCAACCACTTAACCAGATACGTCTTCACTCTCTGAGTCACACATCCAACTCACACGTTAACAATCTCACTGTGTGGCCACAGGGAGTGTGTGTGTGTGTGTGTGTGTGTGTGAGAGAGAGAGAGAGAGAGAGAGAGAGAGAGAGAGAGAGATATTCTGATGCTTGCTTTTTATAAATTGGATCTTCGTGTACCAATTTTTATTTCATGAAACCTTGACTACTTTGAAAATGCAAAGCACATTTCTTTGTGTGTGTGTCTGAGTGTGTGTGTATGTGTGGCATCCCGTCATTACTGCAGCAACGGAGGTAGGGTAACCATAGCAACTGGTGATGAGGCTGTCCTTGGAGATACAAGGTGGAGAGATAAGTGATAAGTGCGATGTTGTGCACGGCCGTGTGTGTGTGTGTGTGTGTGTGTGTATCGGGGAGTTTGGAAGTTTGAAGGTGAGTTTCTGTTTCTCTCTCTCATCTGTTACCTTTTTCTTTGAGAGTGTCATGGCTGTCACAGGTGATTTGTGCTGTGAGAAATACAGAAAAGAAATCAAGGTTGAATTGAGACAGACTAAAAAATGAGTTGTTGCACTAGATAACAGACGATAAAAAAACTAAGGTATTTAATTAATTGCTAATACGCTAAAGATAGACGTTTGTCTGAAACTCTTTGGCTGCGGCTGGAAACCCCAATAATCTTAAACAGTGGGCAGACCAGTGAAACTCATAGTACACAATTACAAATGATAAATTGTGTTTTTATACACAAAGAGATTTCTGTACCTGAAAAACCTGCAGCTGCTCCAGAGTGACCTCCTGACTCTGCCCGTGTTCTCTGGGCAGATGGATGGCCTTGAGCACGAGGCCTGAGTCTGCAGAATAAACGTTAATAAATTAATAAACGTGCAGAAAACACAAACCCCAAAACACACACATTAGGATTGAAATGCCGAGCACACGATCCGACACCCTCCAAAACTTCCAGAAAATGTGCAGCGAACATGATCTACCTGTGCCGATAAACAGGACATCGTAGGTGCTGTCCACGGCCTCCACTCTGTCCACCAGGAGTTTGCTGAATTTATAGTGAACACCCACTCGGACCAGGAGGGGGCGCTCTCCCAGCGGCAGAACGTTTTCCTAACGCAGTGAAACGGGTGCCGTGGTTATGAACAATGCAATTTCTCCTATTGTATTTGGTTTAAGTCTATTCATCAGTGTTGGACTGTCGGCTCCTTTCATTTCCTTATCTCGTGAACTGGGGCGGACACAGAGGTAAAGTATCCTTGACCTGCTGTAAAATAGGCCACAGTCTAATGCAACTAAATTGAGGTTATTTTAAAAAGTGAATCATCAGCTTGAACCTGCAGCAGCGGGTGAGTCCTGCTGAAGAAGATGACATCATCGGGATATTCCCTGGTTGAGCTGTAACTTCCATACGTGCTACTGGGACACTGAATAGGAGAGAGAGAGAGAGAGAGAGAGAATGCTATAACAAAAGGGATAAGCATATCTGGGAGCAACTGCAACATTTTAGATTCGTGGTGTAATTTAGCTTGAAAACAGCTGCTCGAGTAACTCACAGTTCCTGGTCGCGGGTAGGGCACCTTGCCCATGAACTCTGCCCACTTATACTGAGGTCCCTCTTTATGAAGGAAATTTCCCTTGAAAGCTCGAACCACATCTTCCATTCGGTAAACGCACACCGCTGAACCGTTGAGGATATCGCTATGGAGAGACCCGAAAGAAAAGAGAGTCATTCACCACAGTCCTATAATCTTTCCATTCTCCAGCGTGTGTGGATCAAAACATAACCTCAGCATGTCTTTGATGAGTTGAAACGGTCCTTGAGCAGTAAAATAAATAACAAAGTTATGCGCTGTATGTACATATGCAGAATATGAGGAGCTGTGAGTTATTCTGGCTCGGTTTACTGAACGTAGTCCAACCCAAAGGCCAGCTTGGACTCATTTGCCGGTTTCAGCACTTCATCCCCCATCACAGCTCATCACATCCACTGCAGTATCTGGGTTAAAGATTCAAGTTAAGTTAGTGAGCAGAGCCACTATAGCAACGGAGGCAGTGTTGTGATGCATCAGGGTGGTTTCCTTAAGCTAAGATGGATCATACAAATGTTACAAATTACAAATTGTTAAGTTCAGAGGTCCCAGTGAGGACGTCTTGGCTACATAGGTCAGAGTTCATGTTGGTGGGATGTGGTTCAGCGCTCAATGGCACATCATCAAGGTTAAATTCTTTCAACAGCTTGAAACCCCCATGCAAGATACTTTCCTTCTTTAAAGAAATATTATCACCTGTGTCTGAGATGTGTAAGAATCCAAACACATGACCAGAAATAATAGAATTTATACATTTATTAGGGCTGTCAACATAAACACATTAATCTATGGGATTAATGTGGCCGAGATTAATGCAACAAATATTTTAACGTAGGTAACGTTTACTTCCGGTAAACCGGAAGTTGACCGTGGACACAAAACGGCTGCTAGCTGCAGTCAGTTACATCAAGATAAAGAGAGCTTTTTGCATTGGACGTAAAATGGACCACTTAAAGCACCGCTATGCTAAGCTAGCTGCTAAGCTACTTTCATCTCAACATCTAACGTTACCGGCACACAGTCTGCAGAGGACCACCACTGTGTCCCTAAAAGACCGTGGTTTGAAAACGTCCTGGCTAAATGGTAGCAAATAGTAGCGGGCAGATCCAAAGCCTAGACCCTGGGCTTCACCGCACTGGACAGCAACGTCTGTGTGAGTGCACTAATGAGTGAAGCAGTGAGGAAAGTTTCCATTCACAGGGGATGACCTTTCAGGTCTCAGCTCTTCTGTGGTTGGGACCCCACCCTGGCTGATGCTTTGGATTTTTGTCCGTTCCCTGCTGAGATTCCAGACACTTTCCCGAACCCAGACCTAGACCAACTCCCTGCTCCGCCGTGCCAAATGTCGTCACACATCTGCTGCTACTGTAGAGCCCTGCCGTCCGGCTCAGAAACTGGGTTATTTTCAAAGCATGTGCTGCCGTTAAGTTTGCAGGAAATGAGGAACTGCAGTTTGTCGCTGCAAAGTTCACTGCAGTTTATTTTTTCTGGCTTTTCCTCACTCTATACTTCCCCCAACTATATTACATTCAGTGATTGTTTCAGTATTCTTTTGGTGCTCCAGACAAAGAATTGACTGATCATTGAATAATGTGTACTACTTTTCCTCACTATTTGATTCCCATTACGGGCTGAGCTGCAGGTTACTATTGCATAGCTGTTGTTTCAGAATAATGATGGACAGCAGGGTTTGCCGTGGGCGTGCGTGTGCATGAATGTGAGTGTCTACCAGCCTCCCTCAGTTGATAAAAGACAACCGTTCATTTATTTAAAACAAACCTGGAGCTCTGACAATGTTATGAGGTTGTTTGTTAATATTCCTCTCTTTCATCAGTACGTGCTTGCGATGTACTGACTCTACTGTGAGATTGTCAGTTGAATCAAATCAAAAAGCCCAATATTCGACTAATTGGGGTCACTCTTCAGTATACGTATTGTATCTGTTCACCTGCTGTCGGTCTTTGTGAGAGCCTCTTTTTGAGTGTCTGACTTTTACAGTGCAGTTTTTGTCATTGTCATTATTCTGTCCCAGCAGGGAAATGCTATTATCTTCCTCTCTGGTATGTAGGTGGAAAATAAGCCTTTCCTAGATACTCACACATTCAAACATCCTTCTCAGTGCTGCCATTATATTTTCATGCTTTGACCTTGCTTTGAGCTTTTGACAAAGCCTTTTGTTTTACTTTGGCAATACTTTTTGCATTTCACAATTTGTTTACATGTTTTTCTCCTCAAAATCTCAAAGTTTTCAAAGGTCTCAGGCTCTGCTCTCTCCCGTCTCTCTATACCTTGAGGGCCGCCCCTACCGGGTAACCTGGAGAGGATCTGTGTCGGAACCTTGTCCTCTTACTACTGGAGTTCCTCAGGGTTCCGTCCTCGGTTCCCTCCTCTTCTCGCTCTACACCAACTCTCTCGGCGCTGTCATTCGCTTGCGTGGCTTCTCCTACCACAGCTATGCCGATGACACCCAACTAATTCTCTCCTTCTCTCACTTGGATACTCAGGTGGCGGCGCGGATCTCTGCCTGTCTGACTGACATCTCTCAGTGGATGTCCGCCCACCATCTGAAAATCAACCCCGACAAGACTGAACTACTTCTTTTTCCGGGAAAAGGTTCTCCTACTCAGGACTTTATAGAAATTTGGCAATTCTGTGTTAACGGCCACTTTGACTGCGAGAAACCTCGGTGGGACACTTGACAGCCAACTCTCCCTGACTCCCAACATCACTGCGACAAGACGATCCTGTAGATACATGCTTTACAACATCGGGAGAATACGTCCCCTTCTAACTCAGAAGACGGCGCAGGTACTGATTCAGGCTCTTCCCCCGCATCCCTGCAAGGTCATCTCCCGCCTGGACTATTACAACTCCCTCCTGGCAGGTCTCCCCGCTACCGCCATAAACCTTCCTAAATTCTCCCACACTACTCCACTCCTCCGCTCTCTTCACTGGCTACCGGTGGCTGCCCGCATCCAGTTCAAAACATTGGTGCTCACCTACCATGCTGTGAATGGATCGGGTCCAGCTTACATCCAGGACATGGTCAAACCCTACATCCCAACCCGCACTCTCCGCTCTGCATCTGAAAAACTGCTCATTTCTCCCTCACTGAGAGCAAAACACTCGAGAAGATCACGACTCTTTGCTGTCCTGCTCCTAAATGGTGGAACGAGCTCTCCGATGACAGAGAGACACCAGGACTGCATCTTCCGCCGCAACTAAATACACACCTCTTCAGACTCTACTTTGACTAAAAACACTAACAAATTGTAGCACTTAAATTGTACTTATAATGGCACTTATCTATAACAAGTTTCAAATTGGCTTACTTGATGAAATTGGACTTTCTTATTCTTCTGAGTTTGTATCTTATGGTTGAATGCACTTATTGTAAATCGCTTTGGATACAAAATAACTGCGTTTCTGCATTACTTTCATATTTTGAATTTCCCTTATTATTATTATAAGAGTAATAATAAAAGCAAAAAAAAATACAAAAGAAAGTAAATATTTGTGTTTTTTAAATTAAATGGTAGCGACCAATGTAGCGATTTCAATCAGAGATTGAATTCATGAACTTCCAACAATAATTTATTAAACAGGCATAAATATTGCAAAGGGCAAGTTGTTGGGGCTCGGACTCCATCCAGCCGTAGGGTAGATCAGGGGCCAGGATACCGAGATGAGATGAGGCATAGCCCCATTTTTGGGAGCCCAATAAGTGAATAAGTGGCTCCAGACAAAAGGACTTTAATAAAAAGTAAAGTTTAAATCTGAGTCGGAAAGAGTTGTCCCATGCGTGGGATACCAGGCCATTTCAAGTTGGGCCGGAAAAATTCAAGAACTTGACCAATCCTTTGTTTCATTACTACCTATGACATGCCAGATGTTTCCTGCTGAGTGCAGGTGTCACGAGTGGCGGATGGTTGCCTCTGGTGCTTGCTGAAATGTCCACTGACTGCAACCACTGAGTGGAGAACAGCTCTTAACGGACAGCCCCGATGCGATTGGTTTACGGAAACGGTGCACACGTCTGGTTGGCGAGGGCTCAACGAGCTGACTGAATTTGACTGAATTTACGCCTACGCTTTATATATATTTTGTCATATCTACACCTAGGAGGCCATAGGTGGTGGACTACACACCTTTGCTTCACTTCCATTTTATTAAGATCTGGAGTTGTTTCGTTTACAGTCAAAGTAAGAAGGTACTCGCAGTGTTGCACTAAAAAAACATATCGATGCAGTGTGTTGCTAATCAAAACAAATGACTCAACTCATTTCTTTTCACTATGAGCGATCTCTAAAGGAATGAAAACCCTCCACCCAGTGGAAATTAAACACACTCCCTGTGCCTCGCGCCAATTGCGATACTGCCACGTTTAACTCTTAAATAAGGATGCACAGATTTCAAATTGCCATTTAAAGTTACTGAAGTGCATTTCCTTGTTTCTAATTTGCAGAGGCACGTACCTGGAGGTGGTAAACAGGCCGTAGATCAGAGGATTCTTCTTGTCTTTGGCCTGGAGGATAAAGATGTCTTCTGAATGAGGGAACAAGGAAAGGAGGGAGTAATGAGGAAAAGGAAGGGAGAGAAACAAGGAAGTATTATTTCAGCCAGAGTGAAAAAGACAACAGTGTCTGAACTTTTGTAAAAATGTGGTCATCGTTGTACCTGCATGTGTGTTTGTGCATCTATCAGTGAGGGTTTGACAAATAGAGTCGGGCATGCTGGCAGCACGGCCGACTCGCTGCTTGAAATTCATCCGCAGCCATTAATTATCAGCCACAATGGGAGAGCAGAGCACCACAGGAGACCAACACCTGCTATCACACGTACTAACACCACACTTAAGCCCTCACTCTCCATTTCAAACACAGCGAATCAAAACATTTGAAATATTTCTCATCATCTGATAGCGGGGCTTCACACAGCGTTATCAGGCGGAGGGGGAATTTTCGCTTTCTCCATCTGTCAGTCTTCAGACACCATTTGCATTATGGATTTTTAGTGTGTTCTGGCATTTGAGAAAATACACAGATTGGCTGCACGGCGATGTTCATGTTTTTATATAATATGATATAATACGATTTTGATTTATCTTTTTATGGAACTTTACTGAATGACTCATTAAAGTTCTATAACGTATAATATAATAAGCACACATTACGTTTTACAAATAGAGCAAAATGCTGTTTTGATAAAATCGTTATCCTGTAGTTTCTCTCCTTTGCTAATCAAGTTCATTTTTGCAAATTAGAGAGGAAATGAAGTGTATTACAGAAAAATGAACAAAAAGGTCCAAGATTTTTAAAAACCCTACACCACCTCATGCTCTCGAAGCGTCAATCCCGTTAGCAACATTTCTTTCCTGATATTTTTTGTGCTGCTCATCGTTGTATAATCCAGTTGTCTGCTGTCACAGCAGAGCCAAGGTTGTGCATTTCTTGTTTTTCTTCTGCACTTTTGTCTCAGATATGAGCGGAGCGCTTTGTTTTCTGTGTGGCATGCTGCGATATTCTATAAATACATGACTTTACTCGGCTCCCAGAGGTACGGTAGGACAAATAACTTTAAAAGCCTTAGAAACTCTAACAAAAGATTTTAACCGGAAAGTACTCCAGTTAATGTTGAGACACAAAGAGTTTGGCAGCCGCAACAAAGGTTGAAAAAGGGGTGTTCGAAACAAGGTATGGATGTGCTCCACATGTCTCATGCCTTTATTCTCAACTTCTTTTTTCCTCTCTTCGCTTCTCTCCTTTCCTCACCCATGTAGTTGCCGGAACAGAGACAGTGAAGCATATCACTGTTCCCGCATTCCTGACGTTCCTGCTGCTTCAGATGGCCTCCATGGAACTACAGCCCTGCATGAAGTCTAATCTCATCTCATCACACAGACACACACACACACACACACTTGCCACACACAGCGAAAGCTTCGGAAGCCCATACGCATCAAACAGAGAGAAATAAAAGCATCTATGGACACATGCCTGCACCCTGGAGGGACCAAAGGACATAGTCGAGGCCACGCTGATACGATACGTACGGTCTGTTGTTGTCTGCAGCCTTCTGGCTACACGCTGCTCACTCCCTCCATCCCTCATTTTAAAAAATCACTTTATTATTAAATGTTATTCAGTGCTATTCAGGTCTCATTTGAGCGGATATCTCTCTTTCGTTCGGTTCCTGTCCTCTATTGACCACTGATTTGATCATTTGCAGGTCAAAGATTTCTAGACACGAAGTGAGTTGAGAGTTGATTTTGTTCTTTTTTTACCAATGACTAAACTACAAAACTGTTACTGTTTGCTGCTTTAATGTTTCAATATGACTAATAATGCAGCACAAGCACATGACATAATTTTGTTTAGAAACCTTGATATAATTTATGTAATTAGCTACTGCATGGACTTGGGTACAGTGGGCTCTGAGCTAAAGGTCAGCATGCTGACCTGCTCTCAGGGATGATGCTCATAGTCACCAGGTATAAGACAAGGTGGACCGACCAACCGACCCTGCCGTGCATGAGCTTCTGGCAAAGGAAAGAGAGATCTAAACTTTCTGTGAATGACAAGGAGCCTACAGCAGACAAGAGCAGCGTGATAATATTCTCGGTTCAAAATTGAAAAAGTATACTGCGTAAACTTAATGTAAACTTTGGTGAAGCCTGTAGAGAAAAACTCTGAATCGCTGCCTCCTGCTTGAAAGTCAGTCTGCGTCTCTCTTCTCAGCACCTCACAACGCCTTCAGCTTCTCATAATAACAAAGTTAAACTTTGGAAGACGCAACCAGAACAACAATATTCTTTTTTTGACTTTGAACAAGACGTCCCGGTTATTTACAGCTCAGCTTTGGAGAAATTCACTCTTATCTCTTTGTGTAGTACGAATTACTCCTTATTCGGTGCTGTTCTACCTCACCTCGTTTTTTTAACCGTATTGACTTTGATTTCAATCGTTTTTAACAGGGCAGAGAAAGCAAAGCACACACACACACACACACACACACACACACACACACACACTTATCACAAACACGAAGCACACTAAATATGAATCGGCTTCTGACTGCAAAGTTATCTTAGCAGGTGAGTCAAGATGAAGCAGGAAAGACTTATTAAAATATGTGCATTTGCAGTTATCTTTATTTCCTTTCTCTGTTACTGTCAGACAGGAGCCCCCCGTCTCATTCTAATGGTAATCCCTCATTCTGAGCTGCTTTCCTTTGTTACCCGAATTGTCTTCTCACATCTTTTTCTCTTTATCTTTCCATCTAGTGCTCATCCCTTATGCCTTCTTGCTCGAGTCCTGCTCGACTCCCCAGGATCCCTCTGGATGTCTCTCATCCTCTTTGTTTTTCACAATCGCCGTCCCTCCTATTCTCCATCCCACCCTCCCTCCTCCCTCCCAAGCTCCCTCCTCCCTCCCGCTATCTCTCGATCCATCGATCTCCCCATCCATCTGTCTGTCTGGCCTATTTTCTCTGGTGTCTTTTTCTTGCGTCTTTCTCTCCAAACAAAAAGCTGCTGTGTTTCACTCAGGGACGATGGTCTTGTGTAGCCTGGTGACCTGCAACCTCAGCCCCTACTCTTCCCCCTTATTGTTCGGCCGTAGAGCCCCGGGCAAACACCCCTAT